CTAAAATAAAGTATTAAATTGTTTCACAGAAAGTACAATCAAATATTTATCATTATTTCAGAAAACAATATTGTATAGGTAGACAATAGTTTAATTGTGCATTATTAAGAGCTTGCAAATAGTTCTATTACAGATATGAATAACAGACGTTTATTAATGTTCTCTTTCCCTGTCCTTGAAATAGTTAATGACAAATTTGCAACAGAAAAGTTTGACATCAAAGTTGCAGCTCATATTGATTCAGCTTTTATATGCGTTTTTGCTCTCTTCAAAGAATGGTTTATGCTAAAAACATATTTCAATTACTCAGTGCATATTGAATAATATTTTTATGTAATTAAAGGCTCTCGGGCATTGAGGCTTGCCAGATATTTATATCAACTCGTTAGTGTGCCTTTTTTTATAACATTTTATATAAGTTGTACAGCTTAGAGGTTTCCCTTCACTGTGTCACGAGCACTTTAAAACCTCGCGCCCTAATTCCATTTCCAACCCATAAATGCTTTTATATCTTTATTTGATTTTTATTTGGTAGGCTTTTGTTATCAATGTTTTTTTACGACCCATCCACAAGCTACCCTTTCCCGATCATTTATTTTTCCATCCTCGTATTTGTACTTCCGGAAAGCAACAAAAGATCAGACACCACAATATTCCCACATTACCATAAAGTTCTGGCTGTGACGATAGAACAATTGATGTTCTGTCCCTCATATTTTTTCATACTGTCCACACTTTTACAGTTAAAATTTATATATTTTGAGTTTATTTCGGTTTTATCTCCCAAAATATTGAAATTTATATGATAAATATTGTTTAGTTACATGTAATGAATAAAGAATGTCGGCTCCTGAACTTTAAAATATTTCAAGTTTGGCTAAATATGGGACATTTCTTTGAATATTGATTCAATGTAGTTGCACTTAAGTGTGTTTTTTCCCGGAGAATTCTCTTTGTTTTTTTTTAATCCTTTTTCTCGCGAGGGTCAATATATTCTTTTGAGAGATGACATCATATACCTCGTATTTAATTATGGACAAATATCATACCATTTCATCAAATTCATTGATTTCCGTTTTAAAAAAAACCCTGTGTTTATTTAAATTCATTCTTTTTCTTTTACTTTTATATTCAAATTTAGTTTTTATTGTTATTAGGGACCTATATACCATGTAGTATATAGGTCCCTGTTGTCATGCACAACGACAAAATCAAGTTGCCAAATATTGAATTGCAATTCAAACTGGGTAAAATTTTGATTTTCAATGTCCTTTTCTTTTAATGCTAGAAACATGCATTTCAACTATTATACCTACCAACAATTCGATTTTTAAGTAACTTTCCTACTATGCTCGATATTATTTGAATAGAAACAAAACTGTATAGATTTCTTTAATTTATACATGTCTCCTCTCCTTGTTTGGTTTACATTTTATATGCAGGTTTAAGTGCGAGAGTGTGCAGCCCATGCTGTCTTAATTAAAACGATCGAGCATTTTCTAAAACCGGAAGTCCTAACTCTGCAAGGGTAGATCATTATGTCGGCATTCTGTGTCAATTTTTTGTTGATAAAACAGTTTTCTTCGAGACATCGAAATTTTGATAGAAAACTTATCTGTATTTACTATATTCAGCCGTTTATAATGAATTGGTTATTACTGGCATGACTCTTATGAAAGGTAGAATTGATTTCCTTCCTTTAATGCACATGAAACCTTTTCTTAAAATGGAATGAGAGACCACCATTTGAAACAAAACATAAAACAATTGTTATCGAATCTTTGGTATGCAATGAATAATCTATGTGTTGAAGAGAAAAAAATATCCACAGGCACTTGACAATGAATATTTTTCTTATTAAAAATTCATATCAAGTAATAACTATGAGGTATGTTATTTTAATTTTTTTCTATATATATCGTCAGGTGCCCGTGGATTTATCCTTTTGAGTATCTTTGTAGGAGCGGAGGCAGCGGTCCAAGGTGGACGATATGCTGAGAGAACTTTACCAGATGCAGTATGCGGAGGTACTGAGGTCTCCACAAAAAACGTGTCTCGACTTCCCGGCGGTACTAGGAAGCCAACCCCGCTTGTACTACGGTTACAGCTGTGACGACTTTGAGAGCATGGTGATGAAAGCGAACAAATTTGACAATAATGTCCGCCGATATCTAGGGTATACCAAAAAAGTTGACAGACTCCAAAATATACAACATTCCAAAAAATACAGAGCTTACATGGATCTCCGGAAAAAGCTGAAACATTTATACTGAGACATCCTAGTAGCTTGATCAGAAATGAAAAGGATGAGAGCAGTTGTTAAATATTAACTCTAAGAGGACGTTATTCTACCGATTCAATACTGACCTTGCCTCCTTGCCCTACATCATGAATCCGCCCCTCGCGTCTGTCTGTCTGTTTTTGACGTCATCAAAGGGCCTCCAATCTCACCAAGAAGCTTTGACCTTTGACCATGGCATACTTTAGTGGGTGGGTCATCAGTGGTAGACAATCCGCTAGTCGATGTATCGTAACTTTCAACATAGCTCATTCCGCATTCCTTATTATTCTTCCCTCTGACATATAAAGTTGTACTAGCCAAATAATCCGTTCCTTAGATCCGAGAGTCTGTCATGAAGTTCTCCTTTTCTAAGCACCTCGCTTCTAGCTCCCATGGAAAGGGTGAATATCTCTGAGCTATATACAAATGTAACAATTCATTCGCGTATGGTCGCAAGATTGTTTCCACAATGTTCAGGAAAGTTAAATTCCTGCAAAGACACAATATCATTTCCCAGTCTTACACTCGTTGATGTTATGTTTTCTGCTGTTGACTCTCTAGCTCTCATTAACTGTACCTAGTCCTTTATCTGCTTACACTGTACCTGTTAGAGACATTAATTATTACCTGTAAAGCATGACACAAGCGTATCAAGAGTTACAACAACAAAACGATTCGAAAACCATGCTACGTGTGATTATGTGTTTGTCACACGACATGTTTGTCACACGACACGTGACTTTAGGATATACATCTGAGTGTTTAAGCATTAACAAAATTGACTAAGTTAATAAGTATTTAATTCTGTGAGCATGGGAACATCGTTACGACATATGAATATACCCCACACAACTAACTACATAAAAGGCAAACGACATTTGATTGTATAAACACCACACAAAGACAGGAGACTATATGTACACCTTACTAATTGTGAATGAGTGAACATCAAGTGACATGTGACTTCCAAGATAATGAACTTAATGTGACAAGTTATTTAGAGAGAAGAAATATTGTGAAATCAAAGTCAACGAAGCCGACATAGTTTAGGAGGCAGCCTGTCTACACCGGCATGTTTGAGATTCCTTAAATGAATGTCCATCTCTCAGTGCAAATGTATATATGCATTGAAATTCCATGCAATTTATTGTTCTACTGCGAAAAATGTCACAAACGATGAATTATTATGTGTAAAGATACATGTATCTTGTGTTGTAGAACTTTACACTAATTAAAGTGTTGTTAATTCCATTGAGAAATGATATACATGTATACAATGTAAAAATGATACCTTATTACTGGTATTTACATTTGTGACTTACACACCATATTTGCCTAATTTTTTTTAACGTAAAATTTTTATTTTTTTTCCCAACGGCATGTATTAATCCACTAAACGCTATTTTATATATAAAATTTTATGACTTTGTTTATCCACTTACATCTTGACCTCTTCATATACCTGTAAAAAAAGTTATAAAAACGTTGCCTTCAGTAGTGTTATATAAAGGAAAACATTTGCAAATGTAAATATTATGTATAAAGATATCTTGTGTTGTAGTTACACTCATTAAAGTGTTGTTAATTCCATTGAGAAATGATATACATGTATACAATGTATAAGCCTACCCAGTGGTTGAATTCTACACACCAGTTTTAATTTTTTAAATAAAATTTTTGTTTTTTCCCAATATGCATGATTTCTTTCTTTTTTATATATTACATCGGATGACTTTGTTTCCACTTTTTGATCTTTATATACTAAGTAAAAAAATCCATTAAAAAAGTTCCTGGTTATGGGTTTGGTAATTTTCAACAGGTCAAATGATATATTTAATTATCTACAACCACCGAGAATCAGTGTGAGGATTTGAAAATTTTAAGATTGTCAATGCAAATAACGTGGTAATTACATATATGGGAACAGGGTTTGATGATTTTCAAAATGTCAAATTGCAAATTTCTTCTTGTAGAGTTGAAATCATGAGCAAAATGTTCAACTTAACGTCTTCTTCATTATATATGAAAATCATCTTGTATAGAATTGAGCTGTTTTCTTTTCTTTTCGATGAATATTGATGCTAATTTGTTTTATACTTTTTATTAATTCAATAATCTAAATATCTGTGATACTACCATATGATATTCTGTGAAATAAAGCATAATTATGCAATTATTAAGTTTGTTCTTTCTTCTAGGAAAGATATATACTAAGGATATGAAAACTGAAAGCTTCTGAGCGAGTTTGCCTCCTGAAAATAGAGTTATCTCTCTTGAAGATTGATGCTGCAACTTACAGAGGAAAAATGTTTTTAATTACCAGAATTGGAAAGAATACTGAAATATGCGAGTAATCCTAAAAACGTCTTTTGATCAATTCACATTATTATTATTTTTTTTTTTTAGCAATTTCGGATTATCCTACATCTTAAAATATGTCATGTTAATTGACACCACAATAAAAAATATTTGAATTCTAAATTTCATTTTAAATAATGGACATATGAAAAAAGATAACATTAATTCATTTTATGAAGATAATCCGAAGAATTAATATATTCTTTTTAAATCTTCCGACATTTCACAATGTATGAATCATCAAGTTTTCCCCAAAACTATATAAATATATGTATATGGAGTTTCTTGTTTAACTCCCCACAACACTACGGTTATAAATCGCTTTCCACATCTGTTGATGATAAATTCTTACATGTGTAGAGCTTTTCTCTCCTCTAAATCGTCTGTTGCCATGGGAACTAAGCTAAAAAATATTCGACATTCCCTTTAAGGGGTAAACCTGGAAGGGAACAGTAGGAGGTTATTTTTGGCTTATGTTGCCCCCTTTTATCAGCCTCCTCACTGCTCGCTTCCAGAACCGACAGGGAACACGATATCGCCTCTTCTTAATGTATCCTCACCATATTTGGCACAACGGAATAATCCGAGCAGACTGTGGTATGGAAAGAAGATTTTGACAAAGATTCTATCAAATTTGGGGAACATGGACGTACATATTTTTTTTATCATGGCTTTCAGTGATATTTGACTTTCTACGAGACATCTGGGACTCGTTTATATTTAACTTGGGGAAAACTTTTACAACTGGGTGAAGAAGTTTACCACTAGCTAATAGGGAAAATTCTCCAGCATGGCGCACAGAAGAAAGAATTCGCATCCTTTGTGTAAACAGAAGAGAATTTCCGCCGTTCTGGATCTGTTATCGGCCAAATCTCGCCAAGAGGTAGGTTTGACGGCGGTTTCAACGAAGCCAATAAATTATATGAAATCAAAAGATTTTGTAATTATATAAGAATCCTAGGTTAACTTAAAATTATTATAAAATGGAGCATGAAATAACTTAGGTCAAGCAAACAAAACAAATAATAGAAGCGTAAGAATTTTATTTGAGGAAGTTGTCTAATGTTTCGCTTGTTGTCTTTTAAGACACACGTATGTAGAGCAGCTTTATCTCTTCCGCACGTGAAGCTCTGCTGGGGGTAATGAGGTCAGTGCTCGGTGGGTCCGATATAATCCTTTGTTTACGTCCGCTACCCCTCCCTCAGACACGACGGGGTATCTCTCAGGGTCGCCCCCAGACAGGCGAACAAAGCAAATAGCGTTATGTTTAAAAATCAAATTCAATTGGGAAAAGAAATGTTTACGCTTACTTACTATATGCCGCTGACAAGATTCCAGGCCCCTCTACCCGGAGCAATGCTCTCTATTTCTTTCCAGTTCTTGTCCTGTCTTTTGATGTCTGCCTCTAATCAAATCTTTACGTCTCCAAATGTTTATGACAAAGTTTTTATTCATGGAAAAGTATGGAGTTTTGACGAAAAAAACTTTTTAAAAAGATATCTTTGGATTTTAACCAAAATCTTGTGTTTCAGATTATTTTCAGAAATTGAAGATCACGAGGATCATTACAATTTTTAAATAAAAATTATTAAAACGTCACATTTTAATCAAAAATTGGTATATATAAACTATTAATCCGAGTACAGTTGTATATGTAAATATTAAAAAAATAAACTATATCATGATAAATATCCAAATTATTTTAAACTTAATAATAGGGCTAAAGAGCACGGTCAAAATTAATTAATTCTCTAACAATGCACTAAATTACAGCAATAGTTAAAAAATCAGTTATCTATGACAAAGAGATGCAATTTTTTTGTCTTAAAGGTGTATTTAATTTCCATGCTTATATTTCAAGCACGTAGCATCGGGGGGTGGGGGTGGTGGGGATTGCTTTTTTCCAGGGGGGGTATAATAATCAAAGTTTAAAGCAATAGAATATGAATAGATGTACTGAAAGAAGTTGGAACACCCCCTCCCTCTAACCCCCTCCCCCCCCCCCCCCCCACACACACACACACGAAATAATAGGATGTTCGTGTTTGGAAAATTTTCCTTTTTATTCATCATGTTCACATACTTACTTTTTTGCTTGTAAACTTTATCAGTTAAGTTTTAATTATTTTTCTGACTGTCCACCTTTCAAAATCGATGCTACGCCCCTGAATTGTTAACCAAAAATGTATTTTTTTAAAACTTACCTAAAAAAGAAATGCAGCAAAATTCCATTTACATGGAACAAATATTGTTAAAAATTGGAAAAAAAAATCCCCTTTTGTGTGCGATTGCTTTTTGTTAACGAATTACAACGCGCGGAAGATTTTTGCGATGGTAGGGATTTACTTGAAGTTTACATTCATGTCTGAATAATAAAGAAAGTTGCATCATAAATAGGATTTTATTCTTTCTTTTTTTTTCAAGTTGTTAAACCATGGAATTTCTCCAGCTTGTCGTCTATCCTCAATTCATTAAAATATAAATCAGAAATATGAACTAGTATTAACATAAAAAAACATTAATAATAATGAATCACTTATAGGCATGTTCTGTATGTAGACAACCATGATCTGAAACCCCACGACATAAATGTTTTCTTGTAGATATATTTTGTTCTCTGTGAACACAACTGTAATCTAGATACCTTGTCAGCGCGCCAACTGTCGGCAATTTTCTGTTTTCAGACAAAAGTCTATCAAAAAAAACATAAATCCCAGAGGCAGCTGAGTTTTACTACAAATAGATGAATTAAGTTCCCAGAAACTTATCGTGAAAAAAAAATAAATGGGTTATTTTCACAAGCCAATCTGAGTTTATATTTTAGAATTCAAAAAATTTGAAAGCTAACTATACCAGTTGTGATATAGGTAATACTCTAAGCCTTTATTGTAACATATTGCACTAATATATGACTGTCTGTTAGTCTATGAACAAGTGAGGTTTTTCGGTCGTTTAATTCACATAAACTAAAGTCACAAGTCAGATGCTCTACCAACTGAGCTTCCCAGGCCGATATCCCAGTCCCAACCATTACCCTTTGTCCTCGCCCTCGAAGACACAACCCATATTCTTTTTAACACCTGGCAGGAGTTTCACCTGCAATTCCGGATCCAGTCAACGGTGGTCAACGGCACCAAGTCTGTTACATGAAAAGAGAAAATGAATGGCTGAAACATGAATCGAACCCGGGACCTCTTGAATTACTCTTTTAAAAAAAATTTATACCGATACTCGATAACAGCTTACAGCTGTTTGTGTTTTACCGGTGGTCTTCTCCTTTTACATCTTCAAGATGCTCCATTGGAATCTTATATTTACTTTTAATAAAATTTAATGGTGCGCAAGCCAGTATCTGCAATTTTTATACGCCCATCTTAAGACGGGACGTATTATGTTATAGGCTTCATGTCCGTCCGTCTGTTAGCTTTTTCGTTTCCGGCTCATAACTTTAATACTATTAGGCCTAGGATTATCAAAGTTTGTCATCTGATGCATCTTGGGTAAGGAGGTGTGTCATGCAGTAAAAGTAGGTCGCTGTGACCTTTAATTAAGACATTATAGCCAAATATGGAAAAATCCCTTCCGGCCCATAACTAGAAAACTATAAAACTTAGAATCATCAAACTTGGCCAGTTTATGCATCTTAGGTAGAAGGCGTGTCGCGACATATTTCAAGGTCACTGTGACCTTTAATTTAAGTGAAATTTAAAAAAAAATGTGTCTTTTTACTATTCATTTACACATCCCAAATAATGTAAGAGTATTTCACTATCCTTATTAAAAGAGTGTTAAATCAAGAAAATACTTATTTTTTTTAAGCATAAACTTGACAGCAATCTATAACAAATATAATGTATGTTAGAGAAATCCCACTCCTCCCATAAGTGTCATCATCAAGCACTGGTCAAGAAGAATTTTGAAAACAGAAAATTGCATGTAAAATTGAGAGAAATTGATGAGTTTAGTGTGAGGAGCTAACTGGTAGAGCATCTCTGATCAAGCAGGTGTTATCTATATCCCTTGGGAAGAGGGCAAATGGGTCAGCCTGTTGGATTAAAAATAGCTCTTGTTGGCTAGCCTAGTTTTAAAATGAATTTGATGAAAGGTAAAAACTAATTTGATATTGCATAATAGACTAATCTGATATTATATAATATTATTGATTTGAAAACTAATTTTATGGGGTGGAGTGAAATCAGCATGTCCATATGAATTACATATTAAAACCTGTCTGACATATAATCTCAACAAAAAAAAATTAAAAATCTTTGAGTGTTTCATATGTTTTAAAAATGTTTTATGGTAGATAGTGCAGACCCATTCATCTCTTGGTAGTAATGAGTAGACAAGCATCCAGTTAAAGATTAATTAATAAGTTCAATGTTGGAAAGCTAGCTGTCTCAATCATTTCTTTAGAGCATCTCTGATTAAGAAGTCTTATCTGTATCCTTTGGGGATTAGACAGAAGAACTCTTGGTCATTTTATAGCATATGTCATTTGATGGCCAGCCTTTTATTTTCAAAATAAATTTGATATAGATTAAGGTGTTAAGACTAATTGTTTATTGTTTAATATGATGGGCATTTGACAAGGTCTGACACAACCAGCATAGAAATCTATCAGTGATGTAATATTTGTTATAATTAATGCTTACACCACAGGGGATGGATAAATATTTTAAGGAAAGGAAAAATCTTCAAAACCATTGCACATGATTTTCTGAACTGAAATTTTAAGAAAATTGTAATTTTTTGACGGGCGTTTCATGTTGTGGCGTGGCACTTTATTTTTGTAAAGGCACAATACTAGTATTTTCTTTAACTCCCAATGTCTTTCTCTTAGGCACAGAGACAATACAGAGGGTGTATTTACTGGAAAGCTAAAAACTTTTACATTGCAACTGCACAAGGGGATAACTAAAATTTTCTGAGAAAATAAATGTAGATCGTACCATTCAAAGGATGAATTATATATATATGTAAATATATATATATATATATATATATATATATATATATATATATATATATATATACATATATGTAAATATATATTGAAATACAATTTTATTTTGTTTGTGTTGGTGAGGACAATCTAAGTTGGTATAACTTGTGTCCAATCCCATCGACTGTGTTCAATAAAATAAGTTTAAATAAAAATCAAGGGTGTTGAATTATTAAAGACATTTTTTTTTGGTATTGTAGGACACCAAGAGTGATTTAGAAAAAGTGATGCTTACAGAAAGGTCAGAGGTCAATGCTGCGTCATTTGGTAACAAGAATGTGGACAATAAACTGGACATCCCTGATGACCTTCTTAAAGATTTCTTGGCTCTGAGGAGTGCCACGAACCTCGGCACGGCCGACCTCATGCGGAAATTAATCAAAGACTATTCCAAGTATGTTTCCCTCATGTATAATATTTTTTATGTATGAATGTTTACAATCTATAAAAGATTAAAAGAAATATATTTTTTTAAAATAAAAATTCTTTACTATCTAAACCCGGTTACAAGGGGCTTCATTTACTGCAAATATACTTTCTAATTTTGTCAATATCTCAAGACTCTTAAATTTATATATAATTATAATAAATTTAAATGACTTTTTTCTTTAGACTACCAAGTGGTGACACAAAAGACCTGACTAAGTCCGCTCCTTCTGACACGGAAACCTTAAGTGAGTACTATCAAGAAGACCAAGAGGGTTACGTCATCACTCAAAACAGAGACCAGGACGAGGCACTGGACAAGGATCCCGCGGGGTCAAGTATTCCTGATGATGAAGTGCCCTGCCCCATGACGGCACACCAGCTGAGTGATGGCTACACGTACTTGTATGATACTAAGAGCATGGACGAGACTGTCCCGCCTAACTTGGAGCAGACGACAGGAAATGGAACCGGTAATGACGTTTATTCCGATGACGAAAAGGATGGGCTTCAGGTCAAATTTCAAAATGGTGCGGTAACAATCGAAGGCACAAAATATAATCCAAAAATCCACATGGATAATCCAGAGACAGAAAATAAAGGACCACCTCCACCTTATCCTTTTGTCAGTATACATGGCGGTGCTCATGGAATGATGCCGGTTGTTCCAGGTGGGATGGGGCCTGGTGTCCCTGTGTTACCCGAACATGTCCCACCAGAAGTTCTCGCCATGATGAACTCCGCCCGAATCAATCCTATGATCAGCGGGGGTATATCTGAATGTGAGTCTCTTGAGGGAAATATAAGCGGATGTTCGCCGACTGAAACTTTGCAACATGACAAAATTAGAAACCAAATGGAGGATAATCTGTCCCTCGACAATCCATCAGAGACAGTATCGTCACGTCTTTGGACTCCTTTGCCAAGTAAAAGACCATATGTCCACTCAAAGAAGAAAAACTTAGAGAAAGGCAAAATGAAATTGATAGCTGAAAACACATCGAACCATGGCGTATATACGAGTGTTTTAAAATTACCTTGGAGTAAACGTACACGAACACCTAAAGTAGATACCGGGAAACACATGCAGTTCACAAATCTTCAAAACACAAAAGTGGACAGTTTTAATTCTGTAACACAAGAGTCAATATCATTATCCACTCCACAACAGCCACTGCAGGAGAAAAAAAGCAAAAAATTGCGACTGAGTGATCAACCAAGAGAAATACAGCCACAACTTCTTCCACAGCAGCCGAATCAACCGTCCATTGTTTTCCTTCCTCTACCCACTGGAAATATACCAACGTCGCAGGGAATTTTCATACCTACCCCTAACTTCCCTTGCTCAATCCCAGGATCCATGCAGGCACCACTTCCTGTGGATCCACATGCAGCGGCTGCGCAGTCCATGATGATGGTGTATCCTAATACCAACGTTAATAGTCTTGGTAAGCCCGTTCGTAAGCGTGGAAGACCACCAAAAGTCCCAACAATGACGAAAATTGTTCCTGATGAAAAGCAAGCGAAATTTGATTCCAGTTATCCGACATTTATACCGCAGGCCTTCCCTCCGGCGGCCATAGTCCTTAACGTTAATAACATGCTTAATACGGGTAACAATGTGACGGCATCAAACACAATCAGTAACAACTTGTCACCATGTGACGTAAGCAGCTCTACCACTCAGGATGTACAGAACCCATCTTCTGCATCCCAGAATCAGGATCTAAAGTTGTCACCAGTTTATCCTAACGTACAAGTTCCAGTTACATCGGCAAGTCCTACAAATACAGAAAAGAAATCCAGTTCATCTATTCAACACAACCCTCTAATTCTTCCAAAACCGGAGCCCAAACTAAGTGGCATTCCATCGACCATAAATACTAATCCTTTGATGTCTAAAAGCTCTTCCTCCTCGGAGATGAAAATGGTAACAACAACTGCGATGGCAAACACTTCAACCGGGGCCTTGTATCAGGAAATGGTCTTGTCTTCAAAGTCCCTAGTAAGCGTGAGACCAAGACGAAGACAGAGCACGTCAGAGTATCTAAGGTCAAAGTCATCAGATCAAAACTTCATCTGTACATCCTTCCGTCTCCGATCTCTATCCACAGCTAAAAAGGAAAAGAAGATGAGTCAGTATGTTCCAGGAATGAAACGACGGGGGCGCCCACCGAAAAAAAGGCTGGAGAATATGTTTGAAGGACAAATGGTAGAAGTGAATCAAAACGAAATGGAAGACTTCAATCGTCAAAACATGATCAATCTCCAGCGGATTCGGGAACAGAGAGAGATGCATAGTGGCGCTGATTTGAAACCCGTCGGCGGTTTACAAAATCTCGGAATTTCTGGAAAAGATGATTCGTTTTCTGACAGTGTGGCCCATCAAACAGAAATTTCAGAAGGTGAAAAGAAGACAGCAGAGGGCGGAAGTGACGACACACAGTCTTACAGCCCTGTTGGATCTCCTGATAGTGAGGAATATTACGACTTGGAACGAGGCGAAGTTGAACAAAATGAACCAAATGAAATGTTTCATCAACTATTCCACTGTAAGGTTTGCAATGACATTGTCCCTGTGGAAAAGAAAGATGAGCATTATCTAAAACACTCAAAGGCCAATAACTTTTGTGGAACTTGTGGTTCAGTTTTTCAAAGAGTTGTATGTAATGATGCTAATGGCGACTCAGTGGAGCTTTTAAAATGTGAAAACTGTGAACAAGCGTCACAAAATGACAACCAGGGAGCAGCGATATTCTGTCCAGATTGCGGCGAGTCTTTTAGCAATCCACTCACTCTCAAACATCACCGGCAACTGGAGCACCCGAGCCTCCACAAGTCTCAGCAGGAGTCCTTCTTCCGATGTAATGATTCTTCGTGCGGCAAAGCCTTCCGTACAAAGTATGACCTTCGGTCCCATGTTGTGCGTCGCCATGATGGAAACCAGCAAGTTTTCTGTATCTATGAGGGATGCAGTAAAAAATTTCAAAACGACCTGCATCTTCAAGAACATATTAAGTTTAAACACATTCAGATAAGCTCTTCAAAAATGTACAAGTGCACAAAACCCGGATGTGAAAAAGAGTTCGAAAGTGAGAGACATCTAAACATTCATCATCTAATTCATCGCGATGAGAAGCCAATGAAATGCCAGCTGTGTGATTATAGGTGTCGCCAGCAGTCAGCACTGGTGTGGCACGTGAGGAAACACCACCCCGAGGCTGTCCCGAATTACGGACCCGGGTCCTCCGAAAGCTCTGGCCAGGAAGACATCGAAGGGAGGGAACGCGACGAGGAAGACACGCAGTGATTGCGCTTATATAACGATACAATTAAAAAATCCATCCATTTGTTAATAAAGTTTGTAAAATAGTTTATATCTTTCGCTAATAAATTCAAAATGTTATTTTCTTTTTTCTTTCTCTCTAAAACTTGTTTGGAGTCCCACGAAGGAACCATATGCAAAAAGGGAAAAATATTTTTGATCAGGCCTTTTTTCTTACTTCTTCTCAAGAACCACGGGGTTAATGTCCATCAAACTTTCCATAAAGCAGTCTTGGATAAAGGGAATTCACTTTTTAATGTATGGTCGCGCTCTCTTTCAAGGGAGGAATTAAGTAAAAAATTGAAGGCATATTTCAAATCAACGCAATTACACTGGGCAAGGAAAAATGGAACTAAAATGTATGTGGCAGCTTCATTACATTGTTTAGTTCCAAGTTTGTTCAAGTTAATTTTAAAAGACAGCGTGGCGCAGTGTTTAAAGCATCTGCTCTAGAGTCGCGAAGTAAGGAGTTGATCCTTACGTCGCAGGTTCGAATCCCATTGCGGGACGTGGAGATTGGTCCTTCGGATGAGACCGTGTAAACCGAGGCCCCGTGTTGCAGTAAGTGCTGGCACGAAAAAGATCCCTCACTGCACAATAGTCCTAAAGTCGCTTCTTGTTAGAGTGGGAGTAATTCCTGTCCCCTCCTTTTATTCGTCTATGAAGGTATACAAGTGTATATTTAAACAAACGTGTACAAACTGTATATGCTGTATGAATCAAGCGCTGTATCGTTCATGTGGGTCTATTTTTAATTCTTTGGATGGAATCCTTAAACGAAGAATGCATTTGATTTATTCAAGAATTGGCTTCAATTTTAGTCTGTGAGCAGACAATATGTGTCAGATTTGGAGGAATTTCTGGATGTGGATGGTATTTTTACAAGCCTGTTTATGTTTCTAATTACAGTGTATATCCGATGTTAGAATGTGTCCTTACCTGCTACAAAATGCTTCGTGTGTCTACACAACTGTGCATGTATATATATATGTAGGAATATAACAAAAAATACAGAACTTTGTAGTACTAAAATGGCATCTAGTAACCGCATTCGTTAAAATGAATTCTGTACAGTGTCACAACAGAATTTTGAAACATCAATCTTGAACTTTCTTCAGCAGTAAACAGTTTCTATTTTTTTTTTTTTTTTACTTTTTTGATTGAAAGACTTTCTAAAAATATTTCAATTCTTGTAAAGTAATTTTTGAAGATTTATGCTACATTCCCTCACAAACACTGCAGTTAACTTTTCTTTAGTGCCTATTCCAATTATTGAAGTAAGAATTAATTCACTCGGTTCCTCATTAAGTACTTGTATAAAACATCATGGTTTTAATATCCCTCATTCTTGCTGATCAAATTAGCAATACTTTCATTTTTCTTCCACTACCTTTGACCAAGTTAGATTGAAATGCGTCATTTAGTTTTCATATGTTTTACAAAACTTGCAAAGTCCCCACCATGGATTTTTTTAAATTAATACACTTTTGTATTCATTTTCTGGCAAAATAGCTTACACACTAGCACTAACATCATTTCGTAAAATGTTTTTCAGGAACTACATTTTTATATTTGACATATCTTAGGCATACCGATCAGTCTTCAAAGTTATCTTTCTTTTCGTGTTTCTTGTTTAAGCGACACAAGCTTGCATGATGCCATCTAATCTAAGATTAGTATCAAGTAAAATATAATCAAATAATTTAAGAAAATTATCTCATAATCACGATTTTGTAATTACGAAAAAATCGTTATCTCGTAAAAAAGAAAAATATATTAAAATAACGAGAAATTTTTATCGTAATTACGAGATAAAACATGGGAATTTTTCGACAATGGTACGCAAAAGTCTCCGACAAGTGGAGCTAACAAGAGGCCCATGGGCCACATCACTAACCTAAGTAACTTTGTTCTTCACCAGCCCCCTCCCCTTTGTAATGGACAATGTTGAATGTACACTGCCAAGGATGCTTCCATGTAATATGAATGGAGATAACGAACAGTATTCAAGCTCAAAGTCGACGAAACAATACAAAAGAAGAACAGAGCGAACGCGGAACTCCAAAACATCAGAGGTGGGATCAGGTGCCATGGAGGAGTGAGCATACCAATGCCGACCGGTCACACCCACCGTGTGCTCCTTGTCATGATCGGAAAATAACGGAAAACTCCGTCGACAATTCAGTGTGTAAATAATGGACTAACAGTTTACATAATTTGACTTCATGATAAATTGTACTTACTGACAAGATAATTGTATCGACCACAGAACTCACGAAACGATGACTTTAAAACGAGACTGCTGATATTCTTGTTTCATCTTTCATATAAGTTTCAGCTTTTCTGGCCAAGTGGTTCTTGAGAAGAAGATATTTAAAGAATTTTTCTATATATTTTAACGTAAAACTTGGGTCCCCAATTGTGGCACTACCCTACCCCCCCCCCCCCCCACTTGAACAATTTAGAATTTTCACTACCCAAGGAACCTTCCACATAAATATATTTCAGCTTTTCTGGCCAAGTGGTTCTTGAGATAAAGATAATTAAAGAATTTTCCTATATATTTCAATGTAAATCTTGGATCCCCGATTGTGGCACCGCACTCGGAGTTCCTCGGATGACTCGTACCTCGCACGTAGCGGAGTCAGCCGAGGATTGCCGATTGGTGGCACCGCTCTACCCCCCCCCCCCCCCCGGGGGGATGGGTGGGTTATGATTTGAACAATTTCTACAATCTACACTACCCAAGGATGCTTCCGCATGAGTTTTTTTCTGGCCCAACGGTTCTTGAGTAGATTTTAAAAGAATTTTCTTACATATTTCAATGTAAAACTTGGATTCCCTATTGATTCTGACCATGCTCTACCCCGGGGCCATGATTTGAATAATTTAGAATCTACACTACCCAATCATACTTCCACGTAAGTATCAGCTTTTTTGGCCTAGTCGTTCTTGAGAAGATTTTTAATGACCCCACCCTTTTATGTCTTTTCTTGATTATCTCCCTTTGTAGACTCCCCATCACCAAAGAATTCTTTGTACCCACAGGCACCTGACGTTACTTATTTTTCTTTTAAAAAAGTACACCAATACCTAATAGTATTATTATTAGGTATAGGTATATTTTTTTATTAAAAGAAAAATAAGTAACGTCAAGCGCCTATTGTTGTATCACGTTTGGTTAAAATTGGCCCAGTGGTTCTTGAGAAAAATTAAAAATGTGAAAAGTTTACGGACGGACAGACGACAAAAATGGGTGATCAGAAAAGCTCTCTGGAGCTTTCAGCTCAAGTGGGCTAAAACAGTGTTCTTTCTCAAAAAAAATCTATTTAATATAAATATCATATGAAAAGGCATAAACACGGAGGCCTGGGAACTCAGGGATTGGGATCAGGTGCCCTAGAGGACTAAGAATCCCCTGTCGACTGTTCAGACGCGCTGTGAGCCCTATATATTGATCAGGTAGAAGGATAAAATATTTTTTTTTAATATTGGTACTTTGTTTTCAATATTGAAAAAGGTTTTCATTTTTTCAAATTATATTTTCATGATGAAGTGTATCTTTACATAATCAAATAATCGGATGTAAATCAATGTAGGAAATACATACGCACATCTGTACACGTGTCATACGGCAATCATCCGCTGAATATACATCAAATTGATGCATTCACCACAGGAACTGCCTTTTAACTCACCTCAAGTTCCATACATGAGGATTCCTAAAAGAGTTGCTCAAAGACACTGAGATATAAAAAGAATTAAAACCTTTATTTACTCCATAAAGACACAGTACACACCAGGAAAGAAATAACTGATGACTGGATATCAATTTACGAACGAAAGTAAACTAAGCACTTTAAGCGCAAATGTCAGAACACATTAATAAGCTTTCCTTACATAAACAGCCAAGCGAATAAATTTTAAATACTCATAAAATAATGTAAAGGGAAAAACCAGAAGTCTCTGTCGAGACTGTAGCTCTACTGGTTTGTACTTATCAAAAACCATTTCACTATTTTATGTATCTTTGTGTAGTCTACTTGTGTGCCAACTTATTTCCAAATCAAACTAAAACTTTAGAAGGAGTAGCAATTTAAATGAATTTCATAGATAACTCTATCTTTAGTAACCATGGTAACACCGTTCATCAAAATTAAAAACCGATGCACTATTCTATGTATCTTAGTGTAGTCTACTTGTGTGCGAAGTTATATTGAAATTAGACCAAAATTGTAGAAGAAGTAGCATTTTAAAGGAATTTCACAGAAAATTCTATTTTTAGTAACCATGGTAACATCATTCATTGAAATCAAAAACCGATGCACTATTCTATGTATCTTAGTGCAGTCTACTTGTGTGCCAAGTTATCCTGAAATCAGACCAAAACTGTAGAAGGAGTATCGTTTTAAAGGAATTTCACAGAAAATTCTATTTTTAGTAACTATGGCAACACCATTCATTGAAATCAAAAACCGATGCACTATTCTATGTATCTAAGTGTAGTCTACTTGTGTGCAAAGTTATATTGAAATCAGACCAAAACTGTAGAAGGAGTAGCGTTTCAAAGAAATTTCACAGAAATTTCTATTTTTAGTAACCATGGCAACACCGTTCATCGAAATTAAAAACCGATGCACTATTCTATGTATCTTAGTGTAGTCTCCTTGTGTGCCAAGTTATATTGAAATCAGACCAAAACTGTAGAAGGAGTAGAATTTTAAAGGAATTTCACAGAAAATTCTATTTTTAGTAACCATGGCAACACCGTTCATCAAAATCAAAAACCGATGCACTATTCTATGTATCTTAGTGTAGTCTACTTGTGTGCGAAGTTATATTAAAATCAGACCAAAACTGTAGAAGGAGTAGCATTTTGAAGGAATTTCATAGATAACTCTATCTTTAGTAACCATGGCAACACTGTTCATCGAAATCAAAAACCGATGCACTATTCTATGTATCTTAGTGCAGTCTACTTGTGTGCCAAGTTATCCTGAAATCAGACCAAAACTGTAGAAGGAGTATCGTTTTAAAGGAATTTCACAGAAAATTCTATTTTTAGTAACTATGGCAACACCATTCATTGAAATCAAAAACCGATGCACTATTCTATGTATCTAAGTGTAGTCTACTTGTGTGCAAAGTTATATTGAAATCAGACCAAAACTGTAGAAGGAGTAGCGTTTCAAAGAAATTTCACAGAAATTTCTATTTTTAGTAACCATGGCAACACCGTTCATCGAAATTAAAAACCGATGCACTATTCTATGTATCTTAGTGTAGTCTCCTTGTGTGCCAAGTTATATTGAAATCAGACCAAAACTGTAGAAGGAGTAGAATTTTAAAGGAATTTCACAGAAAATTCTATTTTTAGTAACCATGGCAACACCGTTCATCAAAATCAAAAACCGATGCACTATTCTATGTATCTTAGTGTAGTCTACTTGTGTGCGAAGTTATATTAAAATCAGACCAAAACTGTAGAAGGAGTAGCATTTTGAAGGAATTTCATAGATAACTCTATCTTTAGTAACCATGGCAACACTGTTCATCGAAATCAAAAACCGATGCACTATTCTATGTATCTTAGTGTAGTCTCCTTGTGTGCCAAGTTATATTGAAATCAGACCAAAACTGTAGGAGGAGTAGCGTTTTGAAAAATTGTTTACAGACAGACGGACAGACGGACAGACAGACAGACAGACAGACAGACAGACGGACGGACGCCGGACGCATTACTATCGCATAAGCTCTTCTGGTCTCTGACCAGTAGAGCTAAAAAACGAATACAAAAACCAATATAAAAAAGGGAATAAAAAAAGGACAGTCTATCTAATGGATACACCATCAATCTTGTTTCACTTGCTTTCTTAAATAATTCCAGGAGTATTAAAGTTATGAACAGCATACATATATTACATCCTCTGTATTTCGTACATCAGTTTTGTTCACACATTCTTGAATTTGCAGACATCTGTAGTTTCAATGTGTGGCAGGATCTTTAGCATATCTCGTATTCCCTCCTCCACAGAAATGGAGGAGCCGAAGCCCAGCTTGCGGATCTTCTGATAGGAGACCTCGTAATCTCGCTTATCCTTGTCTTCCCCCGACTTAGATTCCGTAATGACGCACCCCTTCACGTGTTCCTGGATAAGCTGAGCCACGCGAGATTTGGTCATATTCATGGCTTCGTCGCCAACATTGAAGGCCTCACCTTTCATTTTTTCGTAATTGTTCAATGCAAATGCAAAAGCACGCGCAGCATCTTTCACGTGCAAAAATGTGCGTCTGAAAGATCCTTCATACAAGTCAAATTCTTTGAGGGTGAGGGCCTTGTACGTCAGATCATTGATGAGAAGGTCGAGACGAAGTCGAGGTGAGAGACCAAACACTGTGGCTAGACGCAAGGCAACTCCATTCGCAGCCAGAACCATTTTTTCGGCGTCGGCTTTACTGCTTCCATACAGAGTTAGGGGACTGATTTGCGTCTCCTCCGTACATATTCCGTCTACTGCTCCATAACAAGACCCTGTACTCGCGTAAATCAGTTTCTGATCCGGTGTTTTCAGTTCGGCGATATTTCTGGTCCCAATGACATTGGTGTCAATCGCTAAATCCGGGTCTTTGTCACAGGCAGGGTATCCCACAATGGCTGCCAGATGAATGATGGCGTCTTTGTCGTGCATGTGTTCGGCAAGCAACTGTTTGTCTCGGATGTCACCGCGGACGATATGGAACTTAGGGTTGGCTGCATATGAAATCATAGAGGTGGGTCCCCAGAAAAAGATGTCATAAATCGTGACCTCATAGCCCTGCTCCAACAGGATAGGGATAAGCGTAGAGCCTAGGTATCCCGCTCCTCCGGTTAACAGAACATGACCACGTGATTGCGATGATTCCGCCATATCTGAATTAAAAAAAAAAAAAGAAATGCCATGAACAAAGAACAATTTGACGGAACAAGAACAAAAGTCGATGAGATCAAGGTTCGATATTTTCTTTTAGAACCCAGTATCTTTCTGCATTACCCTTAAATTTATTGCTGATGATTGCAATATTACAATAATTATACCATTACAGAATGTAGTAAAAGAAAATTTACTTATTTAAGAGAATAAATTTAAATGTTTGAGTTCTCAATCAAAGGATCTGATTTAAAACAGATTGGCCATAGCTCTAGAACAGTTGACAGGAATTCCATCAGGTTTATTTAGTGTGAAGACTACAATGAATTTACGCTACGAGCGAAAGAAACTCGACGGATCAAATCAAAATTTTGCATTCATGGTCCTTTGTTCTAAGCAGATTTAACTGTAATTGTAAGTGTATAATTTTTTAATCAACCATAGACAAGCAGCACAGTCTCATTCCCGGAGAAGGAGAAATAGCTCGAAGAAATTCCAAATAACTTCAAAGGAAAAGTTTACACGATTGAATGAATTCATAACCTATAATACAGCATCTACCTATACAAAATAGCATGTTTTATTGCTGAAAATGTTTATTTATAGTAAATCTATCCCGCATAGACACTTTTCATGTAATTATGACACGGTAATATGAATAAATAATATCTTTCCTTAGAGCTTGGTAATTTCTTAAATGTTAAAATGTAAAGCTTTACTTGTAGGTCGTACATAAAAAGAAGTGGAACAGGCACTGGGTGGTGGGGTTGGGGGATGGCCCAGATTCTGTGGAACAGGCACTGGGTGGTGGGGTTGGGGGATGGCCCAGATTCTGTGGAACAGGCACTGGTTGGTGGGGTTGGGGGATGACCCAGATTCTGTGTATTGAATATTTGCAGGTTACGTGATCGTTTTCGAAAGATTTTTAAGCTGAATATTCATAAGTTTTGTTTATATTTAAAGATTTGCTTCTTTAACTTCTTTTCAAAGTAAAACACAGGATTTTTCGTCATTTTAACACATTATAAAAAGATCTAGATGATAATTTCCATGGAGAAAAAAATTCAATAGACTTGCGAACCACACAGCTTTAAATATTTCCGCATTCGTGCGTTAAAGTAGGTCATTCAAATAATAAGTCTTACAATTACAACTCAGTAATTTGACTTTCATACTTTGAATTTTCATTTTACACTAGTTGAGTAAAAATCCAACAAATAGTTTTGATATAAAAAAGAAGGGAGAACAAGGCGTACAGAATGCCCCCCGTTTCAGATATTGAAGAAAAATCTATTAAATTACTAGTATGATCTAAAAGTAAAGATCTCATTATGAAATTTATGAAATTATGATAAGCAAAACATTCCAAGAAAAAAAATCTAGGAAAATCTCGGAAAAAATTATCCTTTTACTATCAGTATAATATGGATTTCATGGTATTCGAACCCTAGCAATGAAATTCCGGAGTCTTATATTGCTTTGAGACTAACACGCTATCCCCTCGCAAAGAGCATATGTATAAGTTTTAAAAGTGCCTTACTGAACCCCCCTCTCCTCCCAAAAAATTAAAATGAACCAGAATTAAACCTGCCCAAAAGCTCCAATTTAAATTTTGTTGAAATCCCAACGGCACAAAAAGACTTTCATACGTAATATGAAACCAGTTTCAAATACTAGTAAAACTTAACATAAGAAGAGAACATGGCACATTCCTGTAGAGATACCGGGTGAAGTATTCTAGCAGATAATTTTTACATTTAAGCACTTCCTGATACAATTATGTTGCATCTTTTTTTTTTAAGTTGGGGCAAAAAGATAAAATTATTGTAAAGAAGAAAAGGTGCCTTAAAACTTTACCCCCCTCCAGTAAATAACAAGTAAACTCAAAGAATTGTGGTCCCCCATTTTCGGTGTCTTATTGGGTGAGTTGCTATTATTTATGGTATATTATGTCAAACATGATCGCCATATTACTTGACATTCGAAAGTAATCACAAAAGTTCAATTTTTTTAAAATAGGTCAAATATGAATGTCAAGGGATCAAAAAATCATAGCATATCGGAAACATCTTGTCACATGCAATGCAATTTTCAAATATGAAAGCCATGTCTCTTTTCAATCAAAAGTTATAATAAAATATTTTGAAAAGTGGTTTTTAAGGCCAAGGTTACAGGATCAAAAAGCAGGGCATATTAAGAAAGGCCTTGTCCTAGGCAATATACAAGTATTATATGAAAATCCTATTTTTTTTTTCTTTTAAAAGTTGAAATCAATTTAAATTAATTAAATTTTTTTTGAAAAGTAGGTCAAACTTCAAGTTCACGGGGTCAAAATTCATATTATTAAATTTGGAAAAGTCTTGCCACATGTAAATGTACTTGTGAAATATGAAATCCCTATCTTTTAGACTTTTCTCATTCAAATGTCATGACCAAAGTTAAAATTTCTGAGACAGACGAGTGAGATTTAATGTACAATCGCTTTCGCGAAAGTTGTGGGAAAAATGAGTCAGAACTAGAATATTGTCCAAAGCCAAAATCTATTTTAAAAAAGAAAGAAACTGCGTTTGGAGACAAAAGCGTCTAAATAAAATTTCTCACAAAGCTTCAACTGTTTTACAGCAAAAGATTATTTTCGAAAAAGGGGGGATCTGATCTACCTTATACTATGCACTTGCACTATCCCATCCCGAAAAAATTCTTAACTTTTTTCTACTTGTAAAATATAAACTTGTAGTGCTTTGTTAGGACTTATATTGTTTACACCATTCAATCATGATCCAATGTTTACCTTTTAAACTGTTAAATGCAAGACGCTATATATTTCGCAATCTAAATACCTGATTTAACTAGAAAACCAAAGCTGACCAATTTTATACGATTTATTATCTACAGATTTTGGTCCGTTTGAAACATATCTACTTATTATTTAAGTATATATTTTTTTGGTTTATTTTATTTTTGTTTAGTTTTTCTGCCAACTCAGACATTTTTTCTTTGCTGATTATATGACAATGTCAACACAACAGTTATTGTGAATAATAATCATGTGTTTACTTGTTCACCGAAGTTCACGTTAGTCCTGAAAGAAATGTCAATAACCGCCATGATTAAAATGTTACCCGAGATACGCGGAGACTCTTTTCCTTCAGTTGTCTGTAGAGACTAATGGAACTTACCCTAACTGCCCCCTCCCATTTGTTACACCTATATCGGACCCTCTGACAACTTACCTGAGGAACTTAAGGACATATCCGCCGAGAATTGATGTGTTTCCTACCCCGTGATAATCCGAAGTCCCAGCACGGTACTCGACAGTTTTAAAAAGACCGACGTCAGGCTATACGGTTGGCCTACGCTATAGAAATAATTTGATAACCTGCACTGGGATTTTTTAAGCACAGGCAATGAACTTTAATTATGCTGCAATTCCTGATTTAGAAATGGTTCGGTTCCATTCCATATAACATTTTTAAATGTCACTATATAAATATTTACAAATTTAACTGTTGTTATGCGTTTTATAACATTTTTAAATGTCACTATATAAATATTTACAAAATTAACTGTTGTTATGCGTTTTATTTATTGATATGCATGTCTGCACAAAATCAATACAGCATGGGACCTGTTACTGAGAAAAATTGAGAAATCTATACCCGATAGAACAAAGCATGGAACAGTCGGTCTATTTTAGAAATTAAATAGCTAAGCCTATTAACTTTGTAAGGTTATAAACATCGTTACATTTATTGTCCGAAAAAATGGGGTATTTTATCCAATAAGTATCTTAAGTTTTCAGACAATACATGTATAATTATAAAGATGGATACCAGTGATAAGCTATTTTGTGAAAAAAGAGGACATGACTATTAAAACTTAGACACTTCATTCACTACTTTGACACTTCCCCTCGATTTAGCTTTTATAACCCCTCTCCTCAACACGCATACATTCTGAGAATATTTATTTAAACACAATAAATTTAATTCTAATTAGTAAAATATATACACATTTATTGCAATATCTGATACCGTTTTGTAATTATTAGAGATTATCCCAGCACGGTTTAAACAATCGGGAGGGGGGCATTATGGAGGGGCATCGTTCATATATCTGTAAATCCGAACTTGCAGTCGTATAAGTTTTTTGCAAGAAAGTATAGTTCCGAACATACAACTGTGTTGACTTGAATTAAGACACCGAGTGTGTCCATGTCTGTTGTTGAAGACCTTGCTCCTCCGAAGGAAACTTCATTCTTGCCATCTTTCTACGCCATACAATTCTTTCATCGTAATATTAGCCGCATGCTGTCATGGTATTTGAGAATTAAAAAAAAAACAAGTTATGCGTTCTGTTGTAATCTAGCTCAATAGTCCATTTATAAACAATCTTTAATGTGAATTTAGCGCCCTTCAAAACTGGGAGCTGAAAATATCCGAGGTGTGATCAAGTGCCATGGAGGAGTAAGCATCCCCTGTCGACCGGTCACACCGCCATGAGCTTTTTGTTGTGATCAGGAAAACAGAAAAATCCGTAGATTTAATGATAGATAGCATTTGGCGACAGGTTCATTGTATCGTATTTAGAACTTGTGAATTGATTTTTTAAACGAGACTTTCCCCCTCTCTTATCTATATCTTTCAATCTTCTGTCGTGTGTTTTTTTCTATTGTATATATGAATCTCTGACTAGTTTGTATATAATGTAGGGATATCGACAAATATTCGAGTACGCAGTACTCGACTATCAAGTTTGATCATAGCGACTATCGACTAATTTTTTTTTTAGTCGGTTATTCGTTTAAATTATGCTAATTAAAACTACAGTTGTTTTTTTGTGAAGGAACATCAAATATATTTCATCACAATATATGCCGACAACCGTTTTTCAATTGAAATCACTCTTGTAAATTCTCCGCAAAAGCAGAAAAAAGGTCGCTATCACAAACGTAAATACTATAGCTCTCAATTATTTTAAATTCTCAACCAGCAACACCATA